TCCAGAATCATGGAGAGGTTAGTTAAAGAACGTATAATAGAATATTTGAGTTCTATGAGCCTACTCAGTAAACATCAGCATGGTTTTTTGGAAGGTAGGTGCGCACTACTTGTCAGTTAGATTACCTTGATTATGTGACTAGAGCAAAAGACGCCGGAGGTGCCATCATCGTAATATTTCTTGACATCCAAAAGTCTTTTGACCGTGTCCCACAGAATTTATTGTTGCGGAAGCTTATGTCCTATGGTATCACAAATTCGCTTCTAGATTGGTTGTCTTCCTACCTCGAGGGTAGAAAGTAAGCAGTCAAAATCGGTAACTATACATCTGAAACCACTACAAGCTCTAGTGGAGTGATTCAAGGTAGCGTGCTAGGCTCACTTTTATTCTTAATATATTTCAACGATCTCCTTGGTAAAATCTCGTACGCGAAGCCGTTCCTTTTCCCTGATGATGTTAAAATTGTGTATTGTTCCGCCTCTGGGCAATGTAATCCTAACTTAGCCTATATTCAGTCTGACTTGTCCGCATTGGAGCTCTGGACGTTGCACTTTGCCACTGGCAAGAGTAATCTATTGTACCACGGCTGTGGCCCTACTCTGAACATCCTTACATTAAACGATACCCCTATTCCTGTGTGTGGCGCAGTCCGAGACCTTGGTCTAAGATATTCTGCCTCGTTTAATTTTTTATAACATGTCATATTCTTGTAGGCTACTGCCAGAAAAGTGATCACCTACATAAGTCGAACTCTTATCTTGAGGGATTCCAGGCTCCAAGCCTTTAAAATAAGTGTTAGGCTGAAGCTTGGGTACTGTACGATAGTGCATACTAATCTGAGAAAAATGGACAGCATAGCACTAGAAAACATTCAATGATCATTCACAAAGAGGTTTTTGAACATGCCTAATACTATGACATACCGTGAGCGTTGTGAGGCGCTAAATCTGGAGCCGCTATGGCTACGCAGACTCAAACTTAATCTATGCCTTCTATACCGCTTACTATTCGGGTTAACTTTCACTGTTCAGCCACAACTCGAGTTTCAGACTCGTATGCGCTACGAACTAAGAAACAGGGAGCGCATAGTGCAAATACAAAGGTCTCGCACAAAGCTCCGCTCAAATTTTTCTCCGTAAAATATGCGTTAATATGGAACAAACTTTCATCGAGTATTAGAAACTGCACTACCTATCCGCAATTCAGACGCATGATTAATATTCACCTGACTGTTGCAAATATCTGGTCAACACTAAGCCAGACGGTGACTCTAGATGATTTGTATGAGAAAGGTCCTGAATACATATGAAAGTTGACATATCCTCTATTCGTTTCAATATTATTAGGTTACCTACATATGGTTGAATTCTTGAGTATGTATTTGTAAACGATCTTACTCCTATCAATCCGTCTAACCAGTTCTGTTTTCTCCTTTGACGCACCGGTTCGTAGATGCACTACGTCTTTCAAGCTGATGTCTCTGTACCATCGTCGTCACTCGCCAAGATTTTCCATCAAATTGTGACTGGCCTATCGGCAAGCGTTTTATAATTCCTCATACTTTATCTTCTTCTTTTTTCATTTTTGATCATGACTGGGCTGATCTCTTGTGGTGACGGATTACAGCTTCCAAAATAAAAAGTATACCCATGCAAATCATATTACTACTGACTTGCTGGCTTAAAACAAAAAAGTGCCACACTTGATTAATCCGCAGGACAGAACGGGCTGAGGCTTCAACGCCTATAATGTATGCATAAAACAGCCCTAAAATGAGGCATTTTATACCCAGTCTGATAGCCTATTTTATATTTTGCCACACCGGCACAGAGCCAATTGGAGCACGTAAGTGGGAGTGAAACCCATCGTGGGAACACCCTGCATGGAAGCAAGTCCCCTGGGGACAGTTCCATGGATGACCGTATTACTTTACTTGAACTTTCCGCGAAATCTACATTTATTATTGTTCTCAGGTTCTTTATCTCTCTACTATTTTCGAACTTCTAATCACTTCGAAAACCCATATGGGAACCATTGAACAAAGGACGTAACGTTAAGTATATTATGTGATCACGTTGTACATGTCGATAAGACCACCTAATTGGTCTGTGCCTCGCACAGTTGGGGAATAAAACGTTTATTTATTTATGTTTATTTAAGAAGATAGGGAGGAGTACCCGTCGGGCTCACGTTCTAATTGCGCAACCTTGAGACCCTTAATAGTGACGGCTTTGCTTTTGTCTTTACAGGTAATGCTAGAGAAACCGTCCTTACGCTAAAGAACCTTGAAAGAACCTTCCTAAGGTCGCTGGACGGGGTCTGCATAGACCAACACGAAAGAAAACGAACAGACAGTACCCTAGACCATGAAGAAGAGAAGATTTACGCCCTTGTTATCGGGTGTCAGTTAGGTTGTCGTAACACGTGCCAGTTGCTAAATGCCCAGCACAGTTCGCATCGTGGCGACATACGGGATTTCCGTACACCAACTAAGCGCTGGACGTTTGCAGATTGGCCTTCAGGGTTGATCGGGTGCCAAAAAGTATCATGGGCATGGCTTCATTCCAACTCAGTGTATCGGCAGAACTGAGTGAAGCTTTAAACTATCGATAGAAACATTAAGCCATACGGTTCGGTTGCGAAGATTAGCCAATTGTACGATAGCACTGGTATTCGGTGACCTTGAGAAGATAGTTAAAAGAGGGAGATACAAATTACGGACCGTGGTCGGTAGTCACTGTAGCCAAACTGCCATGTGAAGCCACCCAGTGTTAGACGACGGTGCGAGTTACATTGTCGGCAGAAATATTTGGGATGGGAACGGTCGTTGGCGAATGGGCACAACGGTCGACTAAGGTCTAAGTGTAGAATTTTCTTTAAGACGGGGACCAACGGCCCAACTACGTCAAGATGGACATGGGTGCAGCGAATTGAAATGGGGGAAAACGACCAACTAGAGCAGACACTCGCCGTTGTATCTTGGGCTTACTGGTAATTGAGACAACTGCATGCGCAGAGCTTAAGGTACCTTTGCATACCGGGCCAAAAGTATCTCTCTAAGATAATGTTAACTGTAGACCTGATGCTTGAGTGAGCTATAATGTGGGGCATGTCGAAAACAAGAAGGCGAAATGTTTCTGGAACTATAAGTCGATGTCATCCCACAGAAGGGTCGCATAAAATTGTGAATTTTTTAAAGATGACTCACGAAGTTCCGATTAACACTGATCGGCTGCTTGTGCAGCGGCCATGGCAGAGAGGATGATTGTGTACACGGCGGTGCTGAGTAAAGATACTCTTGACAGAGCATCAGCGACGACGTTCTGTCGACCAGAAATGCGTCAAACATTATTCGAAACTTGGGCAATGAAATAAAGCGGACGAAGCTCACACAGTGAGTGTCGAGCTGTTTGATTTTGCAAGGCGAAAATTAGTGGTTTGTAACTGGTAATGATGATAAAGTGCTTAACTACAAATACGTCTCGGAAGTGTCAAAAAGTCGAGTAAACAGCCAGAAGCTCTCGACTGAAGGTGCTGTATTTGAGTTCCACTGGTTGCAAGCTTTCTTAATAGAAGGCAAACAGCTTCCAACATCCTTAGGTAAACTGTTGCAGGGCAGCGCCTAGGACTGTGTCCGATGCGTCGATAGCACCACCAAGCTTTACTTTGCAACCAAAAGTAAGGCCTCTACGGTCTCTTTACTAGCAATAAATGCTTCGACCGGGACGGAAGTGAGTTCCACATTGGCATCTTTGCGACCACGGAGTAAGTCTGACAATGGGCTGCGTAATCCAGTGCAACAGCAATCATCCATACTAATGGATCAACCATTAAAAGAGCGAATGACAACTACCTTGTTGGGAAGGAAAATTTCATGGATAGCGTAGACCCTGTTGTCTACGCCATTTTGAATAACACGATATTCAAGAAAGTCTATGAACATCTGTTGAAAAATACCCTTACCGGAATTGACGGTGATATTATTGGATTCGTATGTCAAAGAGGGTTTTGAGGTGCTAATGATGAACTTTCTCGGTTATGTTAGCCACCAATATATCATCGATGTACGGATAGACAAAGTTTAAACCACGAGTGACGGAGTCGCCGTAAGGTTTGTACTACGTTGCGTAGACCAAATGCATCCTTACAAATTCGAGCAGACCGAAAGAAGTACAATTAGCAGTTTTTGCTATGTTATCTTTCGCGACCGGGACATGGTGGTAGGCGCGCGTTAGATCAATTTTTTGAAAACAGATGGGTGCCATGTACTCAAGCCGTTTTGTTTCGAGTGTAGAAGGTATTGGGTATCGGTCTGGAACAGGGACTTCATTCGTGGCGCGGTAGTCACCACTTGGACACCAGCCTCCTGACTTTTAGGCACCACGTAAAGTGGCTTTCTGAAGGTCTGACAATAGCTAATTCATGCATATGCTCGTATTCATCCCTAGCAATTTGTAGCTTAGCTGGAGTTAATCGTCTGGCTTTCGCGAAAACAGGTGGTGCTTTCGCAAGGATAATATGTTTCACCACAGCAGTTGAGGAAGGCCTCGGAGTAGCTGCACCGAAAATTTGTGGGCAGCTGTCATGGATCATCAGCCTGATGGGTGAGCTAATCTGATTCGTGTACACAGGACTAATTGACAAGATGCCTGTCAAAGTCCCACTGGCGGCGAGATTAGTTAAGCGGTTGATTAGACGACGTTGCTTAGTGTCCACAAGCAAATCCTAGTGTTGCAGAAGATCGAGTCGTAGGATAGGTCTATGGACATCGGCGACGAGGTATATCCACTTGAAGGAGCGTCGTAAGTCAAGATTAAGCTTACACGAGCACTGACATACGCATGAATGATGGTCCCGTTGGCTGCGAGTAATGAGCTAGGATTTTCTTGAGTATTACGGGAGACGATGTCTTTGGTAAGATGGTCTGATATATCAATGACACATGCAGGGTAGCACTAAGCAGGTTGTGCAGTATTTACATTGAAGAATTGTGAGCTTACCTGGGTGCCCTGTTTCTCCAACGTATCCTGGTTCCCCTGGATCGCCAATGGATCCAATACCGGCCTCTCCAGGTGGTCCCTTCGGTCCTATGGTTCCTTGTGGCCCTGTGAAATGATGAAGCACAACGCTGACAATAACGTGGCCCACAGATTATACATCGTGTCAGATAGTCAACTACACACCCGTGCTAGGTAGCGCAAAACGACCATCAGCTGCTTTCATAAATTACTTACCTGTCAGTACAAATGCTGTGGCGGAACGTAAACTATCTGTGGTACGTGTACCCAGTTATCAATCCTGCTGCCATTGGTGTCAGAAGCGTTTACCCATGATGTTGGAATCATTTCTAGAGATTGTATTCACTTGGATCGCTGCAACAATCTGCGATGCACCAAGCTTTCTTTAGTATCATAATCGTCTCCATTGTCCTTCCTTACTTCAAAGATCGCATGAAGTGTTAAATAGCGGCAACAACCGCGTCTAGGACAGTTGTCTTGCTGCCAATTGCTCGCGGGGCTTAAGGATTAGCTGCGTCAAGCCAACTGGTCAGTGATTTCAAGAAATTACTACTTATTTTTCTGGGCGACCGATTGTCATAGTGCAAAGGCAAGCTTTGCTAGGGTCGAGGAGGTAAGCGGCTAACTACCTTTTCCGTTTCTTGCTCTTTTCTGTGTTGAGGAAACACTCGAGTAACCAGGTAGTATACCCTCAACAGACTTGTCTCCGTTGTTGAGCTAGATGTTGGGGTTGCTGAGTAAGAGCCATGAATTTGTTTATCTACTGATTTGATTCGACTGATTGCCACCGAACTGCCAAAACTGGCAACTGGCTACTTGCAATCAACTGTTTTAACCATGAAAATATCTAAATGCGTGCTGATTGCACAGATGTTTCTGGGCCTCTGAAGTGGCAAATCTGATTTCGTCTATGCGATTCGTCACCACACTCAGCCACACATTTCATCACACAGGAGTGCCAGTACTGACCATAGACACGAGAAACGCACTTGTTAGGTACACGAGTTTTGGTTTTCGCCTCTAGCTAGCTGTCCAATTGATCAGTGCAGTTATGGTATACGGGTGCGCACTGACAACCTCCGCTTCGCTACCTTCCATAAATAGCAGCCAGAATGTCCTGATCCGGAAGAGGTGGAGTGCTCATTTGAGTGGGTTCATTTAAACTCCTTGGACGATGGACGTGAATGAAGAAATACTATTCCAAGGACTGACTCGCAAACGATGACACTGGGGAGAACAATCAAACACGCGCTTCCCTTCTGCTTCGTTCACTAACGACACTTTATTTATCTCATGTAGATACGATAAGCCACCTCATCACTAGTGCCACTAGTTCAAGAGGAGTTCGATGGCTTGGCCGCATGAATATAGTGAATTTTTGAAGTAAATATATCCTGACTGATGTACTGATGGTTTGTGATGTCAGTTACATTGTGTGGATTGTGAATCCGAAGACCACAGCTGGTGATAGTCGATCCACTTACCTGGGTCACCGTCCGGTCCACGTGGGCCTCTTTCGCCCACCATTCCAATGGGACCTCGTTCACCTTTGCGTTTTGGTAAGCAGTCCACAGCTGGGGGCCCAGGATCACCAGATTCCCCCATGGCACCCTTCGCTCCCACTGGTCCAGTTTCTCCGTGGTCTCCTACGCTACCTTCAGGACCAACTTCCCCCATAGGCCCTACAAAAGGAAAGTTTTTAAGACTTAACTGTTGGTTAGACGGTACCAGAAATGGAGTATATAACTGCTGGCGAAAGGCTTTATTTAGACAGGTTATCTAGAATTTTGAAGGAAGAATGGCGTCGCAAAATGCATGTAAAATGTGTAGTCCACACCTTTAAATCCCACAAAACATAAAGGATTCTAGGTGGCCCTCAGAGTTGTTGCTAAATTCCAAGTAAAGACATTCCCCACTCACCCTGTGGACCTTCGGGTCCTGGTTCTCCAATGGGACCTTCAACTCCTGTTTCACCTTGCTCACCCTCCGATCCAATCTCTCCCTCTTCGCCTTCTTCTCCTTCAACACCTATACACCGGTAGAAAGATGAAAGATTTTATGAGAAAGCACTCAACTTGTCAATTCGTTCCGATCGAGTCCACCCGACTGCTCGAGAGGAAACTGTAGTCACAAATGATTGGACCAGTGAGCCGTGGAATCGTGATTGTCAAGGTAAATATTGTGAGTAATAATGCTGCAAGTGGGGTGGAGCACTTAGCTGTGAATAACTGGGGAACAGCGAGCATCATGGAATATATGTTGTTACCTGTGAGCTCATTCCTTGGGTCATTCTTGTTAAAGTGACAAACGTCTCCTTTGGAAGATTATACAAAAAAGCGGAGGGCAGTATTTCCAAAGCGCTGAAACTGCCGCGCTGGTGAGATCTACCGCAGAGGTTAGCCATTATTGGCACATTTCCAGTAAAGAACATTAACACCAAAGTACCGCAAGAATTCTATCCGGGTAAATTTCTCTGCATATTGTCAAATGCTTGCTGTAGAACTCGTGGGTCGCGATAGTCGGGATGGCAAATTTACAAATATGCCTGCACACAAGCACACGCACATTTCATTGCACTATCTCTCGGCTGGCTTACTGCTAGGTTAGAGACAGTTCAGTGTACCGCAGAACATGAGTTATTTGACGCGTGGATCACACAGAACATCCGCGTGGGGTCCATACGGTTTCTGTCTGTCAGCAGATGGCGTCTTGTACATCAGACCGCTTGAGCTCCCTGTTTACAAACTTGAAGTGTTGGACGGAGTTGTGTTCGAAAGGTGGCTCCTGACCCACCCCCCTGGAATATGCACCCCTGTTCTCACTCACAACTGTCCCATTTACTAGGAAATGCTCATACAATTTTGTCCCGAGAATTTTTCACTGCAAGTATACCGTTGTTCAGTGTAGATCCGGGTCAACTCTATTGTCTCCGCAACACCACGAATATTCAAAGGGAAAACAAAGTGGAACTGGGTGGATTTGCCTGAGGTGAAGTGTTGGGTTTATCTGTCAACACATGTACTTTAGAAATGTAAGCGGGCATGGCTGGGTCCGGTCAGGTAACTGCACAACTGCGCCTACCGACTTTTACTGAGGGTTAAGTGTTTCAGACTTTGCCTCGAAAGACCAGTGCATTTACTCCTAGGCTTCATATGGTTGAGGAACAGATCAAGGTTGACATTTCTCTGAAGCGTTAGGTGGACATCGGATGTTTTGCTATCATTTTGGAGGCCGTGCGATTACTTCCGTTTACGATGAATTATGGTCAACCTGTGTACACTCCTTCGTGAAAAAGTTAAAGCATACATAACACCTCGTCCTTACTACCCGCTGCTTGGTCATTTGTGGGCAAGAATGATGTAAGTACATTCTCGTATGATTTATTGCTTTAAGTTTTGTACCTGAAACATACACCGCGTGTTGTCCCGTTTACACCAAATCGTAGATCAATACTTAACGAACGTTATGTGGTTAGACCACTACCTATCGTAATAGTGCTCTAGCAGCCGGAAGCATTCGATCGTTTTCATCGTCCGTTTGAAAAGCGTTACTTGAAATTGTGTAATGTTGGTATACCACACAACCCGTTGGGTGCAGCCTTCTTCCTTCGCCATCAGGCTGCCGGCTCGCTTGATGGAAGAATTCATGTGTCGTTCACATCCCATTCGGCCCCCAGGGTCTAATTCACCGCATGAACAGTAATAGGTAATACATCACTAAGCCAGTGCGTTTTGTGCGTATGTGTGCATGAGTGTGTGCTTTTTTTAATTTCAGCCGTAACGAGTCAGTTTGATTAAGTTATGCATACGTTTGTCAAACTCGGTCCTTACGGAATCCTTCAGATATCCGGCCAGTGACTGTTACGATAGGAATGAGCTTGGAGCAGGCATGTCCAAAGCCCGGCCCGCAGACCAAATGCGGCCTGCGTTAAGATTTCAACTGGCCCGCGCCCTCATCATGAAATAATAAATGCAGGCTTTGATTTTTATCCTACATGCGTAATTTTTGTTAGTAGCTTTATGTCAGACAGAATATGGCCGGACATATTTTTACCTAACAAAATGTGGCCCACCCTGAAAAAAGTTTGCACACCCGTGGCCTAGGGCTTTTGAACTCTGCTGAAAGTTCATCAATTCTCCACCTCTGAACTGCAATTAGTGTTGAGCGGCTTTAACGTTATCTGGCAAAAGTGCACTTTCGCAACTGACTCTTGTGGTTCACTGGTCGGCCACGTTACAGGTCGCATACCCCGCAGCAGCATACCCCGCATACAAAGTTGTGTAGCGAACATTTGGCTGTCCAGTTGCCTACGAATCTAGTAAAGCTTGAATACATATTAACTATAGTTAAACATCCTTAAGTTGACCACTCAAGGGACTAGATCAAAGGGTTTAACATAGAGCGATGCCCAATATACAGAGGCTTCCTTCCATATGATTTACACAATAAGCTCTCAAGCAAGGAAGAAAACTGTCAAATTGGAGTGGTGGCCAACTTCGTAGGTTTTACTGTGCATTACCGACAGTACACGTTCCGACAGCTCCATAATCGATGATGAACTTGCGCGTATACACTCATTACCAACCTTGTACACCAGGTTCCCCGGGCTCTCCTTCTGGACCAGGGAAGCCTTGTAACCCTTGATGACCATGTCCGCCTGGTTGACCGGGAATCGCCTCCCCAGGAATACCAGGTTCTCCCGGTTCACCTGGATCCCCCTTCGGTCCATCTGGACCCGGTTCTCCAACATCACCAGGCACTCCTTTTTCTCCAGGTGGACCAGTGGCACCGGCTTCACCTATTGCACCACGGGGCCCTTCGTCACCCTGAAAAGAATAAAAAGCTTGAAAATAAACAAGTAACGAAATAAAATTCGTAAATAGTTGCCCTCTAAATGACCACAGTCTCCTACCTGATGGACTAAATCGGTTACTCTTATTAAACAGGAGGATGTAGCGCACGCCTAACGATCGTTTTGTGACTACTACTTTCATGATTTTTAGTGGATAGATATTCATTCTCCTTAGACTGATGTACGGGAGGTGTTCAAAAATAAACTGAAATGTTGATATGACGTTTTATTGCTCATTGTATAACATTGCAAGCATTTCCCACCTCAAACTAGTCCCCTCTACTGGCAATACACCGTTCCCAGCGGTGCTTGCATTCCTAGTAAGCCTCCTGGAACGCATTTTCTGGGATGATGCGCGGGTCTCTTGTCGCATTGTCCTAAATCTCCTATATGGTTTGGATGCGACATCTTTGTAACGGGGTTTTCAGTTCGGGAAACAGGAAAATATCTGCTGGGGCTAGATCCAGAGAATATGGTAGATGGGGCACTACAGGAGTGTGGCGTTTTGCTAAACAGTTGCGGACAAGGAGGGATGCGCGAGCCGGCGCATTGTCATGATGCAACATACAAGTCTGGTTTTCCCACAATTCATGACTCCTCCTGTGCACAGCATCCCACAAATACACTAGAAATTGATGGCATTGTTCTACGCTGATGCTCACATCGTCAGCAACTTCTCGAACAGCTAAACGACAATTTTCGCGGATCACAACACGAACTGTTTCGACATGGTCATCATCTGTTGATGTGGAAGGTCGTCCATGCCTGGAATTGTCGTCGACCGATATTATGCCGTGTTCAAAACACTTAAACCACATATAGCACTGCGTGTGACTCATACAGTCCTCCTCGTATGCTTGGCTGAGCAACTGAAACGTCTTTATAAAAGTTTTGCCAAGTTTGTAGCAAATTTTCACACACACACACACACACACACACACACAGTTCTTCGAGCTCTTTCATTGTCTCTTGGTCTTAATCCGACTAACGGCTCGTGCACGTGCTCACTTCAACAGCTGTAGGTCGCCAAGTAACAGTCAGGCTGGCTAGCCGAACAATCTCCCTGTGGCGCCAGCTGGGTGGTTCGAGTTTAACCCATTCCGACAAATAGTTCGGCGGCAGGGTTTCAGGATGTGGTGGATTTTCGCCTGAAAAGGGTTCGCCATATAAAAAGCCACAAATGTCTGCTTAACAACACCGTGACTTGGCGGATGTGACTAGCCACCGAATAAAGTAATTGCCGTCGCTTACCCTGACAATCTTACCAACTTCACAAACGTCAAACATTTCTTCAGACACCGGCGACGCGATGGAACTCATTCAAAAGAACAGCAACACATTAAGAAACACAAGCAACAAACCTATTTACATACCTACGTATATGAATCTACATATTTGAAAATCCTATTATGCAAGGAACAATGAACAAGGAACAATGATTTATGACGGGTAAAAAAGCAGTTGCTTGACAGCTCTCGCAGGATGGTGGGGGTAAAATTACAATTATCAAAAGATAGGTGAGTTGTTTGTTTGAGCGTTCATCTAGCAGATACGTTGCTGAATAATTGTAGTGTAGGTGCGAATTGAATGCGAACGACGAGGCAAAATGGGGACAGGTATAGTTGTTGTACGCCGTGAGAAAATTAAAAACGAGAATACTCACTTCTTCATCGCCTCTTCAGGTTTATGTAACATGTTAATCTGCTTTGGAGGGCTAATTGATCTATTCCAAAGTAGCGCAGTTTATGCAACGAAGTGATGTGGGGCTAAGGGCAAGATCCGATAGATTTTTAAAAATATCCAATGTCGGGATAAACAACGAAGTTTGGGAGAAACAGAGTTGACAAACCCGGAGAGAAAAGGAATTCCGCCGGCATTCCAGGCAGCTATACTGAGCACACAACTTCAGAAGGTTACATCTGAGATGGGTGTTATGGCCGAGCTTCAGCAAGTGATGGCATACTGATTAGGGTCACACAATATTTGGTAGACTAATATGACATCGGCCCGCAGCCCTCGGTAACGGCCACTGAAAACTCCCAGTGACTTCATCCTTTGGTGGTAGGACAGATTTCGTCAGCTGTTAACGTTCTTTGTGGCCCTGTGTTGTGGTTTTTCTAGCAATTCTAAGTCGCGTTTCAACCAGGGTTGCTAAGCTTGGATGGCTTATTCAACGTGAGGGCGCACCTAAGAATTGTGCATCATGGGGAAGATGGATGGGTCGAATCTTCCGAATGCTCTCCGCAGCAAGCCCACGTCCTGGTTGGCTCTCTTCGCAGCTGCCTGTGACTGCTTTGAATAATTAAGGTCACTTTGAATGAGCACACCAAGGTCTCGTTATTGACGTTGTTTGCAATATATGTGACCCAAGCCGATACACGTAGTCATGCCTATGGCGCAAATGAACAGCGTGACATCTTTCAACATTGAACAGGAGTGTATTCAGAACTGACCAGTTTGAAATCGTGTCGACGTCACATCGGAACTTTTCGTGGTCGTTCAGTCCTTTGATCGCTCGCCATAACTGGATATCATCCGCGAAATATAGGAAATCGGAAGTAATTTCCCTCGCCAGATCGTTTATGAAAATTATGAATAGACGAGGTCCGAGCACCGATCCTTGTGATACGCCGCACTCCAGCTCAATTGCGTCGGACAGGGATTCTCATACTCTCAGTTCCAACCGACGTTCATGCAGCAATTAGCCTACCCAAGGCAGCAGTGGGTCACCAACGCCATAGAGCTAAAGCATATGGAAGAGCATTTGGTGGTTTAAGCGATCAAACACTTTTGAGAAGTCCAGATAAATGACATCAACTCCTGCCCCACCATCAACTACTTCAGTCCAGCTACTGCGTGCCACTAGTATGTTCGTAGTGCATCAGCGCTTTTGTCGTAAGCCATGTTGCTTTGGTGCCATCATCTTGTGATTTTCCACATACTGCATGAGTGCATCAGCCATGATAGACTCCATAACCTTGGAAAGCACAGGGAATAGCGTTGTAGGACGGTAATTAGTTGGGTCCGTGCGACTACCTCCCTTATGAATAGGAGTGATGACCTCTCGATTGCACATTGTTGGAAGATGGTTCTCCTCCAAACAGCGCTGATAGAATATAGCCAGTGGTTCCTCCAGATCACTGCCTGCTGCCTGTAAAGCCCTCAGTCGAATGTTATCCACACCCGGAAAGTTGTGGATACGCAGGGACAACAGTTTCGTTGACACACTCTACAGTAAAGTAATATTGGATAAGGCTGACGGTGGGACAATAGAAACAGGGATAACCGTTGGGCCTGTTACTCACTGGAATGTTTGTAAGTAATGGAATCGTAAGAGATCGGCTACTTCCGTTACACATAACTTGATCAGTTGTTGTACTATTACTGTGGTCGTGAATTTAATAGCCTGCCTCGCGAAGCTAAGCATAACACTTAATTTATTCATTTAAAGGCGGCAGACAGCAGTTGTTGCATAAACATACATTTACATCTGCTCAGTAGCCGCAGTGCGCTCTCTCTATAGTTGGTACGCTATTACGAAAGTTACAATTCTTTTCGAACAGCCCTCGCATATATATATATATATATATTCTTTCTCTCTCTCTCTCAAGTGTTTGGCTGTTGTTTGATATCCCCGGTGTGGATGCGCTTGATGTGCATGTTGACAAGGTGCCTACCTGTCTATTACCCACTACCGCGTCCATACTGGCTCCAGGAGACAGTTGGTCGTTGCTGGAGGGGACGGGGTGCACGGTCCTTGTGGCCGTGCTAGGCTCGAAGAGCGCTTCCATGCAGTCAGTGTGGGGCGGACTACGGTCCAGCCACCGCCTTGTGTGTGCTTGATTCCCAAATACAGTGTGCTTGTGTTTGCCTGTGAAGGAATGTGGGCCGGCTCCGTTGATGAAACGTGGTTCCCATCCGCATGCCTCCCGGTCTTATTCCTTCGGGTTTACACTGGATATGGGGTATGTGGTTGGAGCTGTGGGTGGTGCAGCGCAAGCCACCCATGGTCCCTCTGTAGGCGCATGCGTCCTGTGGCTTGCCACAGTGACAGGCAAATCCGAAACCGGATGCCGCCAACCATATATATATATATATATATATATATATATTGCGCTAAGGCTGGGGGTTGCTGGATCCTGACAGATGGTCTACCCACTGCTGCTACTGTTGTGAAATGGGATCATGTCCTCGTGGCGACCGCTGGGTGGGAGTTGGGTTACGCCTCTCGCCCTGTTAAGAACCAAAACACCAGTCCGCATGAGTCAGTGAAGTGACCATGTGCTAGACCCGCTGAATTTTTAGGTGCACATTTAATCGAAGTCTTTAGCTGAGGACCGCGTCGTTCTCCTGACAAGTATGGGCGCCCTGCCTGTTGGACCACTGGGGCTCCAGAAATGGAGGAGGCAGGAGCAGTAGGCAATTAGCGCAAGCTCTTCCAGCTAATCCGCACCACTGGTCCCAGAAAACCAGGCGTCAGTGAGACAATCAGAGACAGCTCTCGTGCACTGATACACAATAAGGAGCGCCGTAGGGATCGTTGGGCGGAATAATTTCAAGAACAGCTCAGCTGGCCCATTGCTCCCGGACCTCTTCCTACTCAGGTGATGAAGGACGAGCCATAGACAGTTAGTTTAGAGCCTCCGTCGGAAGCCGAAGTCCGAAACGCGATCACAGCCCTCAATCGTTTTCGTGCCGCTGGCCCGGCTTCCTTTCCACCTGCACTATTTAAGCATGGATGTGAGCTACCGTGCAAAGCACTGACCTCCCTATTCGAAGGTATCTGGAAGGAAGAGAATGTCCCGGCTAATTGGAGCGGATCGATTACAGTGGCAATATACAGAAAGGCAGTCGCACAGACTGTTCTAACCACAGAGGTATCAGCCTAAAGCCAGTTGTGACAAAATTACTGACCTCGATTCACGTTCGTCGCCTCACTTCGGAACGGGGATCTCGGATTAGGGAAGAGCAGGC